ACCGTAAGACATATTCCCAAGCTTCTTTGGCACCACACGTTCACGAATCCCACGTCCGCCATCCGAGAAGCGCTCGGGGTTCCAGAACCCACCAAGGGCAGCCGCGTGCTCTACATCCTCGTATTCCCCAAGCTCCACTCAATCACGGAACTTGACGGCAGAGTGCTTTTCGACGTATGGCGTCAGTGTATCTTATGTACGTATTTCATTCAATTTATGAGGCTCTTTGTTAAAATAGCGTGCAGGCCACCTTACTTTGTGGAAGGAAGGTGTCTATCATCGAGATGTCAGCCCAGGGAACCTGATGTGGTACTGGAAAGACGGCAAGCGGATAGGTGTGCTAAATGACTACGATTTATCCTCGTTGGCGAATGTCCAGGGTCCTCAGGGCAACGAGCGCACCGGCACGGTGCCGTTCATGGCGCGCGAGCTTCTCACTGAAGAAGGTCAACGAGGCAAAGTGAAACACCTATATCGCCATGATCTGGAGTCATTTATGTGGGTTTTCGCTTGGATTTGCTTGCGTTACAGGCAGGGAGTCCTTTTACCACGGAAATTGCGCCCCTTCGACGAGTGGGCAACTTTAGGCGCCATTGCATGTGGCGAGAAGAAGTTAGTTTTCCTCAATAATATGACAGCTTCCGCACCCCCAGACATAGACCAAGTCACATGGGATTTCCTTTTGGACTGTTTTTTGGTGCTTAAAAGGGATGCCGACAACCGGTACTATCTTCGCCTTAAACGGCCATCGAGGTCGGGGGAATGCCACCAGCCCGACGCCGACTCAGATTTCGATGCTTTTCTATCTAAATTTACAAGTTTAGAGGGTTGGGTCGAGCTCAGCGAACCTTCAAAGTAATGTTCTTTGCTTGTTGTCCTATATACGGTTTTCTGCCTATCAATCCTTGTAACTTTCAGTTGTATATTCACAATACAAACAGTCGGTCGGGCACTTCCAATAGGGTCGTCCTGGAAAGCTTCATTGGCAGGGAGTAAGTATATCAACTTAGCACGATGTATCTTGCCATCTTCAGCTATTCATATGCACGTCAAATTATTTCAGCAGGCTATCTCCGTTGAGTCCCCGAGGTTTCTGTCATGGCATACTACAATCGATCTCAAGACACAATGTTGTGTCCATAATGACTCGCACTACATCGATCGACGGTTGCAACGTTGAGGGGCAACTTGAACGTGAACTCGTGACCAGTCACTCGCGAGCTGGAAATCCTGGGAAGAGTCTGCAAAGTCGCTGCGACCGTGGTTAGCCCGTGATGATATTGAACTCGTGCTACTAGGGACTCGGGGTAAGCATCATGATTAATTGCGCATAGAACGAAACTGAGCGAAATTTCTGTGGTAAATAGCGTAATCCATCTTAACACGAAAAACATAAACGTATACCCCAGCGCGCTCCTATCAGACTTATTTTCAACGAACTATTTCAAGGTGTCTTTGACTCTTGTCGCATACCTTTAAGCTAGATTTGGTCGTGGGAACGGTCAGGTGACCACATGGCGGCTGGACGTCGTCTACTAGTACCCCGCAGGCTATAACATGTCATGGCGTCCGTCATCCCAGTGGTTTTCATACCCGTCATAGTCCTAGGACTGACAGTTTGTGGTTACCTCTTCGTTCCAAAGGGTCCACATCAACTCCAAGCGCAAGGCCACGGACACTTTGGAATCCACCGCGAAAAAATCTAAGATGGACCCCGATGACACGGACGACATCAGCAAAACAGGGATCCTCTGTACAACCCTGGACAGTGCTGGACAGAGCCACAGAGCCCACAGAGAGGGTTCTCTCTGCACAACTCTGTACAGAATGTATAGGTAGCCTGTAAGATTCTGTACAGGGCGGTACAGAGTACATGCGAGCTTATACAGGGTGGTACAGAGTACATACAAGCTTATACAGGGCAGTACAGAGTACATACAAGCTTATACAGGGTACATATGAGCTTATACAGGGCAGTACAGAGTATATATAGGGCTAGACAGTGTGTTACAGAAAGGCTACAGAGGCAAGACAGACGAGACTCGAATCCAATATTAGCTCAGCCAATCAGATCGTCATCATTATGTCATGTAAACTAAAACAAATTGTTCCTAGTCAAGCTTCAACTTCAGACCCCACTGATTGCGCCGGTTTGATTGATCGTGGGTGAGAACACTGAATGGGTGTCAAGTACACCAAAATAAAAATGATAAAAATACTTACTTCGCCGCATGCACCCATTTCTTACGCACCGCTCGACACTTCTTCGAATGATAAGGGTCAATCTTGACATCTTCGTAGAGTTGCAGAACCCTGTTGTAAATAGGCTGATACAACTCAGAGACAAATTTAGTTGGTTTGTAGATGCCAGTCTTGTACTCATTAATAGCTGCAGCAAGCTAGCAACAATGAGCATAGAATAATATGACACATGAGATTGGAACATACTGCAGTAGCTGCAAGTGCAACAGTGCCCTCAGGAACAGCTTCAGCGAATTCATCTGGAAAAGACTTCGCGAGCACATGTTCGCTCTTGTAGAAAAATGTACTGCAGAACTCTCTGAGTGCATCGTTCGCGAGGTTATTGGTCCTCCCCTAGCAGAAAAGTCAGTAGGTAGAATGGTATCTCGTGTGAATGTACCTGCTTGTCAACACCATTGTGAAGAAAATTACTGTCATCCATTAAGTCTTTGACTTGACTATGCACATGTTCTTCATACTCGTCCTCATCATGAATATCTGTAGGTAGGATGTCATACTTAGTAGTGGCAATGGGGCACGCAACCTTCTTCATCTCAGATTGCATGGTTGCACAATCATCCCATAACTAGAAAATAACAATTAGTACTGACAGGAACTTGCAGAATAAACTTACAATGATCATCATGTCATGTTTGTGTTCATCCCAGAACCCAGCATTGACACCAATATTGTTGGCCGCAAAATCTTCAAGAGTCTCCATTAGATATTCAATACTGGTCTTCTCAATGAAAGCTTTGTGGGTCGTAGTAGCGCCACCCATGACTACACCCAGATGCGACTTCTGCTTGGCAGCCTCCAGGACATCCTTCCAAGCAGGCAGATAAAATGCGATAGTCTGATATCCTTTGGAGGGATGCGATCTTTTGTGTGGTTGTGAAGGTGCCTCATCTTCCTCACCATTGGACAGCTCTTCAATGGCCCGTTGACCCAATTTCTGAAGTGTCCTCAGATCAGGTGTACAAGGGCACCAGTTCTTTTCATGATGCTCCTGCAGAACATTGTGGACGGTGTCCAAGGCAGTAGAGCTGCTGACTGATAGCTGGTAAGGGATATGGCTCTCAATAAAATGGTTACTCATACCTGGCTTGGGAGTGTGACATGGAGGGGATGGGATGTTGCTGTCTGAGGTCTCAGGTGAGCTGACAATAGGGCAATGTCTTTGATAACTATCCTTATCTGCAGATGGAGTGATAGGGCGAGTGTTTTTCTTGAACTTCTTCACATGGGACTTGTTAAGAACAAGAGGATGCTGGGAGTTGACATCATCTAAAGTGATGGTGCATGTGGGTTTCTGCGCCTTTGCTTGCAAGGTGTTGGGGCTTTGGGGAGGGGGACAGATATCACCATCAGGAACTCGGGGAGATGAACAGATGTCACTGGGGTATGTGGACAGAGAGGGAGTATGTGTCTGTTTCTGTTTCCTCATCTGGGACACGTCAGTACCTTGGAAAGGGGAGTGTGCACCAAGGCCATCATCTCAATAGATGAAGCCATGATTAAGTAGAACAAAATTAAAAAATATTATACATACCACGACCATCCTCATCCTCATTCTCCTCATCTGCATCTGCATCCTCATCCGTGGGGGGAATGAAACCAAATTGTGAGTGAGGACTACAAAGATGGAAAGTGGGCAGATCATTGACTGGAGAGATATTCTGTTGTTGAAATGATATGGGAGGTGTTTTCGACTTCAGGCCCACAGGTTTTGGTCTTGGTTTTGGCCGTTTGACCTCGGGTGCCATGATGTTGACAGATTGGCTCTCAAGTGCATCCTGAGCAGGATTTTGCTTTGTTTGTCGGCATGGCTTCATTTGGGTATTTTCCAGCTTTTGAAGCTGGTCAACATGACCACCTTGTCCTTGATTGCTTCATTCAGAATGGCGGGGCTTGTGTTCAACTATCAGAGGATAAATAGAATGTGCATCAATGAAGTCAAGATAATGAAAAGCTTACCAGGAGGGCCAGAAGAAATTTTCTTCTTGGATTTGCCCATGTTCAATGAACTTGCTCAGAGCAAGCAGTAACTAGCTTTCCTGACAACTTAAGCATTGTTCTGGACTCTGCAATCGTGTATATTTTCTAATACATAATTCGAATGGTTGTATAACAGCTATGCACATAAACTGAACACTTTGTATTTCAAACTCCACTATCAACTATCAAAGTAGAAAAACGTAGAAAAACATATTGAGGCACATTGAGACAGAATTGAATGTGTATGTTAAAACTATGGGGAGGAAATTGTTACTCAACTGCAGATGAACCAGACCCCTCAGAAGAACTAGACCCCTCCGCAGAATCCACGTCACCAGAGGAAGTAGTCCCCTCTGAAGAATCCACGTCCCCAGAGGAACTAGTCCCCTCTGAAGAACTTGACATGATGACCCTTCTGTTTGAAGGTCTCTCTGCCTTAGGCTCATCACCACCGTTGTTCATGCGATGATGCTTGGTGCCATTGAAATTGCGATGGTACCAGTCACAGTACCGAAAGTGAGCCGTCTTATACACAGCAACAGACATGAAGGTAATATCTGTGTCCCAGTCAAATACGATCGCGCTTGGTGTAAGAAGATTGGTGTGGTTGACGGCAGGTTGTAGGACATCTAACTTGGTGCGCATCACAGATTTGACCATGTCCATGCCTTGGTTCAAGGCAATGCTGATCTGACCCATATCAAGCACCAGAAACAGTGTCTGAAATATGTCAGTACCTACTTGACACATTAAATAATTGACTCACTCCGTAAGCCATGTGAGGATTGTTGATATTGATGTCTTTATTGTCCTCCTTGAGCCAGACAAAGTACTTGACCTTAGACACATTGATCCAGTCATGGTCCATCGCTTTAACGGGACCAAACAACTTGTTGGCATCCCTATGTGGCGAAAAAAAGGTGTATGGGCAGAGAGATTTGTCAGCAAGTGCTTCATTGTAGGCGAGGGAATCTTCTGTGGGTGCTTCATAATGAGTTTGCTTGGATATGAGTATGAAAAGGATGAATAAGATTTTGCGGTGAGTAAGGAGGACTTTCTCTATCTTCTTGAGGGCCATACGTTTGGATTGAGAAAACACAGTCTCTGTGTACCAAAGGACCTTGGTCTCCGCCACCTCCGAGGTGGTAGGGGTCAAGGTTATTTGCATATCAGGGATAGTGAAGATATCCTCTGAATAGATGTGACTGGGTATAACATTGACCATCAACAATGATCGTGTGAACAGCAGGGAATGGAGCGCGCTTGAAATCACAGACGATATCTCACTTGTCATTTGGTCATGTACTGGGAGGGGGGAGTATACAATGAGGATCATGGTGTGTGGAAAATATGTCATCCTATATTATATGATTAGTTATAGGCACGCATATTGTATAGATTCACAAATGTATTTAACTGACTTTGCTTTTAAGAAGTGCCTCTCATCCCCACTCATCAAGTTCAAAACAATTGCAAACTCATCAAATGAGACATTGGAAAAGTACATGGGTTCTACTTGTATTTGTTGAAGAGTGTCTATAATATTACTGGAACATTTGCCTGGCCAAATATTGTGAGAAATTTGGTCTGGTTCAACAACAAATTGACTTTACCTCTTGAGACAACAACATTCATCAAATCATCCAGTGCGCTTTTGGCTGTGAGATGTACAGTGGCTCAAAAAACTGTCCGCATGTTTTGACATTTTTCACTATCTATGATATTGTGTGAGAACTCACAAATGGCTCAAGGACATGGTTATACCACATTGTAGTATGGCTTCAGGGCTTTCATTTGAGCCCTACACCGTGGGAATCGGTGGAGATATGGTGGAGATACAAGGCTCACAAAATGGTGACTCATGTGGACAGTTTTTTGAGCACATATTAAAACTATATAAATCATCATTTATGACACCATAACAATCATGCCACCATTAAATAAATTATAAAGTGGTGTCATTATGTCATTTTAAAACCATATCTAACTATACAAACCAAAAATTTCCATATGTCATGGTTATATTCACCATGAAAGCCACCCCCCCTGCTCAAAGGGATAATATCCTCTCTCTTTCCTATTCTGGCCTCTCTGCTTGTCAAATTTCCTCTAGAACTGGAGTATCCAAGTCCACTGTGGCCAAGTTCATCAAAGAAAGTCACACAGACAAGGAAAACTTCTGTGAAGGGTGTCCATCCAAGCTCACCTCTACTGATAGGAGGGCTATTATTCAACATATCACTACAGGAAAGGCTGATAATGCTGTCCAGGTCACCTATTACATCAATTCCACCATCACATTCCCTGTCTCTTCACACACTGTGAGAAACATTCTCAAGACAGCTCATCTCAGGTCAGTAACAAGGAAGAAAAGGCTTTCCTCTCTATTACACATATGTAGAGAGGACTAACCTTTGCCTTAGCCCATCAGAATTGGATTACATAGACTGGAAGCATGTTATATGATCATATGAGACCACAATAAATAGGATTGGGTCAGATGGCAAGGTATATATGTGAAAAAAGAAGGGTGCTAGTCCTCTCTGCATATGTGTGATAGAGAGGAAAGCCTTTTCTTCCTTGTTACTGACCTGAGATGAGCTGTCTTGAGAATGTTTCTCACAGTGTGTGAAGAGACAGGGAATGTGATGGTGGAATTGATGTAATAGGTGACCTGGACAGCATTATCAGCCTTTCCTGTAGTGATATGTTGAATAATAGCCCTCCTATCAGTAGAGGTGAGCTTGGATGGACACCCTTCACAGAAGTTTTCCTTGTCTGTGTGACTTTCTTTGATGAACTTGGCCACAGTGGACTTGGATACTCCAGTTCTAGAGGAAATTTGACAAGCAGAGAGGCCAGAATAGGAAAGAGAGAGGATATTATCCCTTTGAGCAGGGGGGGTGGCTTTCATGGTGAATATAACCATGACATATGGAAATTTTTGGTTTGTATAGTTAGATATGGTTTTAAAATGACATAATGACACCACTTTATAATTTATTTAATGGTGGCATGATTGTTATGGTGTCATAAATGATGATTTATATAGTTTTAATATGTGCTCAAAAAACTGTCCACATGAGTCACCATTTTGTGAGCCTTGTATCTCCACCATATCTCCACCGATTCCCACGGTGTAGGGCTCAAATGAAAGCCCTGAAGCCATACTACAATGTGGTATAACCATGTCCTTGAGCCATTTGTGAGTTCTCACACAATATCATAGATAGTGAAAAATGTCAAAACATGCGGACAGTTTTTTGAGCCACTGTATAGCTGCCAATTCGGGTTTGCCTGAAGCCAATATCATTATTTAAGTAGTTCATAATGAACTGGTCACCTACTTGATGTTGTAGTATTGTCAGCCTGACTAAGGGCTTGGTTTGAGTTCTGAGGAGGCTGCATCTTTGATTTGGATGGACTAGAGTGAGATTTCAACCAAACAGCTGTTGGTGATTCAGATGCCATTGTTGTTGTATCCTTGTTGGTGTTCGCTTCTGCTTTTTTTGAGCGGGTGTAGTAATAGGGTGAACTGCCAGTGGAAGATCCAAAAATTGCTGCCATCACATGGTGAGTGTTTGACAGGTTGGGAAAATGGCACGCACTGCTGCCTGATACTCCCATTGCCTTTGTAATAATGGAGTGGCCCAATAAGAAAAAAGGTGTCCAAAAATAATCAATATCAACTAAGTCACATGAACGGGATCTGAAGCCCCTATCTAGACATATTTAATGGAACTTGTGAAGGGCATAGAATAATTGCTTATTCCAGAACTTGTTCAAGAAAAATTCAGTGGAGTGATTCATACTAGTTTGCACAGTCAATCGTGACTCTGCCACATCACCAAACCAAGGGATAAGATGGACAGGTGCCTGGATTTGAGTGACTCTAATCACATCACCAATCCGATCACCATTTGCTCAATAGGCATGTCGTAGGATATACATACCAGTTGAATTATCCAATCCAACCACATCCAAATGTTCAACGTAGGCGTAGTATGTGTCTGCATATGAAAAATGTGTGATTGGACGAAAGATCAAACGGAGGTGAGCAATACAATGCCCTACATCTATCATATCAGCAAAATCATGTGGAGCAAGGACAACTCACCTTCAAGACCGCTCTTTGGCCATTTGAATACTCTGTCTGAATTAATAATGACCAAATCATACCGACCATAGGGCCAGTTATTTGAGGGTGGTTCTGCCAGTAGTGCCTGCAAGGGCTCGAGTTGATTTGCATCATGGAAGTTTTTCGATTGAATCCAGATCTTACACCAGATTTGAATGCGTTCAAATGGAAGGGGACAGTTAGGATGAGCTCGGTGCCTGCCACCAACAGGGAAGTCATTGTGTGTCTCGATATGGTCCAGATAATCAGATATCGCAGGGCAAAGGTTGGGAAGCAAGAAGTGGTCGGCAGCTTTATCAACAGTCATCTTTGTGAGGGTGGGTTTATATCCAAGATTGTAAGCTGCTACAGAAGTTGAGAATGTGCGATAGGGATGAGGTGCCTGGGGATAATCGCCAGCAATGAGTTGATGGGTGCATGGAAAATAGTCCTTGATGGAACATCAGACCGTCTTGCTATCAATGTCTTCATCCTCACTTTCATCATTCATATCAATGGCATGATCTTCTTGTTCACATATGTGAAGCGCAAGATCAAAGCAATCTACTTTATCGTGATGATCAAGATAATGACACACTTGCGCATCATAGTCGTGGTTATTTCCAGCTCTTGCAGGCACCTTAATGATGGCGATATGGGCATGTTCAGTCAGATCTGCAGACCACTGCGTGAGTGTGCCATGCAACTGGATACTTAGCACTACCCCTTGCAGCAACTCTAACTTCAGAATCACCCATGATTTGACCCCACCACCCTTCCCTCTCTGGGCGCCTGCATTGATGATGCCCTGTTTATATTTGTGGAAAAGTCGAAGACAGTGATTTAACTCTGTTAGTGTTTTGTCGGAAAATTGCGGAGCTTGCACAAGATATCGGAATTCGAGAAGGGCCCAGATGGCAGTTATGAATTGGGTAGGAGCAGCGCCAGCAATAACAGCAATAATGTAGCATTGGATGCTGCGATAGTCTCGTCCCGAAGTTTGCTTCAAATTAGATATTCCTTCTTTGAAAGTATGATACCTGGTGCACATCTGAAGTAAAGAAAATTGAAAGTCAATTTCTTTGGCACTGACTACGTTGATACACCAGACACAGTCATGGTCAAAGAACATCTTGTGAAAGTGATGGAGCAACTCTGGTGTCAGGAAAGAGGAAGGATCTGCAGTGATCCAATCCATCCAGAACAGCCATTGGACACTGTTTAGGTGATATTGCTTGCACTCCTCAAAAAATGCCACAAGTTCAGATGGGGAGACAGATGCAATGGCTTTGTCAATATTAGCAAGTGTGAACGAGCCTTTACAAAGAGGGTGACAGTCTGGGTCCCCAAAGTCGGCATGTGTAGCCATAGTGACAGGTGATGCATTCATGGTGGTACAAGCAATGACAAGCTCCTCCAGAGTGTCAGCTACATAAGCAACAAGGGGTGTGAAACAATATCTGCTGAACCCCACCGGATCACTCATCATTACACCCAGGTGTGCAGCTTGCTTCAATGGCTCAATCACAATGTCAATGCATTGATGAAGCAACCGGTCTGCCAGAACACCATGCATGTGTTTGACCCTATGGATAAACTTCACAACAGGAAGTAGAGCGAGAGGGATATATGCCTGGAGGGATCCTTTAGCATGTACATCAGGGTTGATGTTGGCGAGAGTGATGAGGAGCGGGTGGGCATATCAATTGCCAGCAAGGTTGCTAACCTTGGTCTTGTCCAAGGACAGGACCACACCAAGCAGGGTTGCACCATCAGGCAAGCCTTCCTGCATCATCAGTTAGCTTCACTGAACAAGTTGAGAGTTGAACATACTTGAAGTTCCCAAGCACAGTCACCCGTCATGAAACCATAGTAAATATGAACAGCACGTTCGGCCTCGGCATAAATTTTCCATGGCATGAAGTCAAAACTATCAGCCAACATGGGGTGGCTAAGAAGGGACTGAATGCACTCAATCACATCCCAGTAAAAAATCCGCAGAGTCCTCATTGTCGGAAATTCTGTAGGGACTATTTGGTACTTCCATTTAGGTGGGGATGGTAGCATTTCAGCGTGTCCTCAGAGCTCTCTCAAAGAGTGAAATGAAAGTGGTAGTTTTCTGGTCTAATTACACCCAAGTTCAGACACTCATTCATGCAACACAAATGGACTCACAAATTCAAGCTTGAGATACTCGTCAATATCTGACATGCTGAGGTCTGACTGAAGGAGGAATGCTGCCATTTCCCAGTCTGGTTTGCTAGTGAATGGAAAATATGGATTGCTCGCCCTCTCCTCAGCATACTTGTTGGACTCAAATTGCTTCATGAATGTGGTTCCTCTACCCCAGGTCTTTGCCGCACCAAAATATAACACCACTTCCTCCCTATCATCAGCCTCTACAACAGTACCCTCATGTTCTGGTCCAGGACCATCATCCATCATGTACATGTCATCGAAGTTTGTTTCATCTTCTGGTAGTGAGGCTTGAGGTTCCACTGGCAGGGGTTGTACTGGTGGGCCCAAGAAGCGAACCAAGTTGTTGTTCCAATTGAAGCATCATGAGGCAGGTTGATTTAGATGTTGTAGAACACCTCTGTCATTCCAAAAGCGCTTTCCACAGGAAGGGCACTGCATACCAGTGCGGTATTGATTTGTTATTGATTAGAAGTATCGCAAGTATGTTCAGCAATTTCTGGAGCAAACTTCAACAATACTACAATGTCCTTGTCAAAATTATATATTTCTCTGTCTCCCACTATCAATCAAAATTCTCATTCCACTACAAGCGACTTCTCATCTTCGACTTGGATGTCTAGATGCAGCAGACAAATACGTCCAATTTTCCCAGACACTGATGATTCAGACTCATCATCATCATCATCCACTTCTGAATGTCTGTCAACACTTGATCAGGCAAGTCTTCAATTTGGGATGTGGAATCCACTGACTTTCAATAGGACTCAAGTGCAACTTATCCTGAGAGTGCTGAGGAGGCCATGTGCTTGCTGGAGATGGCATGGGCAGATCTGGAAGTTCAACATGTTGAAAGGGACCTTGCTGATTGGTTCCTCCTTCAGCTTCAGATCAATGCACGTTATTGGCGACTCAAGGCTAAGAAAGCAAGGAAACAGTTCAGCGACGCGGAAATGAAAGTAGGGCATGTGCAGGCCCTGGTGGTGAGGAACGGTTTTACATGCTCAGAGTGTTCATTTTATTCTTCGAAACCTTCCTGGTATGTTGTTAGTTCACACTTCTATTCCACACTAATATTTTTATGTTCTAAGTACTTCCTTTCAATGATGAACTGTTGTAGTAGCTAGGGTCCTACATATTTGATTCACAATGTTTTTGTCTCACTTTGAATTGTTTCTACAACGACCTATCACAAACCTTTACAAATGTGTATACCACTACTCCACTACTCCTACCTCTCAGTGCTCAGCATCTGCAGATGAACTTGGCGTCTCCACACCGACTGTAACCTTGACACATGCAAGTCATTTTGCCTCCTTGGCCTAAGCTTAGACGTCCTATCACATGGTGGACCAGCTCCATCAAGCCCTCCTAGTATCTCCTATTCGCAGCAAGCAGATACTATGGCTTATAGGCCCTCAGCCCTTCCTGCACATGATACCTCAGGCTTGTTGACCAGCTCTATCACCGACGCCCTCACTCGCAGCGATTCCAAATCATTCAGCCCAAATCTGTCCTCAGTTCATAATCCTGCACCAAAGTACAAGCCATTTGTGCCCAGGTCAGGTGCTTGATATACTGATATTGGAGACACGCACAGAAGCAAGAGTCCAAGTTTGCCGTGTGGTGATGAGGAGAATTCCTGCTATGTCAGTAGTGGGTCTTGTTCTGTCATCACGTTTTTTTTTCGTGAATGACCAAATTTTTAGGTGGAAAATGCACTCTGTTCCTTGGTTTTTTTCTGACATTCCAGCTGTTATTCATGTCGACAAAACATGTTCTGATTCCTCCATATCCTTGACTCTGCACCATTATAATGTGCCGGGTTCTGTCGTCAATCACAATGGGGTGGCTATGGAGTCCACTTCTGGTCCTGCGCATGTGCCTACTGTTGACAGTTGGTGCAATTCCCAACAGCTGTTTCGTCCAGCCTATCTGAGTGGGTGCAATGTCGAGCTTAGCCTTGATTGGTTCGCATCTGCAAAATTCGAATGGTTCCCAATTTCAGCGCCCTTCGGAAATGGATGTCGCACAGCTTCCTGCTGGTCACAGTTGGATTATTCAGTCTGGTTCTCAACTGGTACTGAGTACCTCCGTCTCATGTCTCGTCTACTTGTACTTGTATCATTCATTGCATCTCCGGATCATGCACGTCTCCTTCAAGTTGTATTTGTGACCCCCGCTGTGAATCCATTGTAGTTCTGAAAATACTGACAATGACAGTGACTCAGCCTGCCCTGCGAACACCCGGCACACTAGATATCAAAAGGAACTCACATGTACGCCATCACCGAGTATTCAGTGATGGGTTGAATGTATATGGCGGCTCAGACAGTAAATATTTGTAGCACAGATTTGAATCAAGTACGATTTCGACATCATGATGAGACCGATAATGATTGCAGAAAGCGCACGTAGCGGGCTCTGCCACGAGCGGCCCTTCCGCGTTATTTCAATATAAGAAATTTCGAGTAATAAAAACAATATCAATAATGATGCTCAGGAATTAGCATGGTCCGCATGACAGTCACACCCAAATTAAAATTTAAAATTTGAATTTTTGACAGGACTCACATGTAAGTCTGTAGGTTTCTGTGAGTCCCTGTGAGTCTGTGGTGTCTGTGGTGTCTGTGGTTCTGTGCACTGTAGCACTGTGCGCACTGTGTGGCTCTGCACGCGCTGTATGGCTGTGGGAGTCCTGTACCCAAAATAGGCAGTTTGCTGATGGACGATCTAGATGTGACCGTCCAGACGGGTCTGTACGCTGCCGAAATGTTTGCGTCCAATCTTGGAGTCAATTATCTGCTGAATCTTATCGTCATCGGTGGGTTCGTTCGTCTATTGAAGTTGGTTGTGCTCTTACCGAAGCTTCTTCAGACGATGTAATGTGGATCTGGTATTACGATCGGCAAGGGATCATTCAATGCTCAGGCATCAACTTCATTCAAGATCTCCCGCGATTCATGATGCTGTTGTATGCTCTACAGAGATTCGATCTTCATGATTGGGGCCGACACACGGACTTTCTCCTAGTGCAGGTCGAGGGCAAACAATGCCACGAATTCAAAATCAAGGACGCAGAACTTGGAGAGGTGGATCTACTGCTTCACACCAGCCACGACGAAAGAGTGACGCATTATGGCCTACAAGGACGGGCCACCAATGTGGTCCCTGTCACTAGCGAAGCGCTCGCAAAGAAATATGGCAACTTCCAGGATGGGATGGTGGCCAAGATCTTTTGGGGAGAGGCGAGTCGCACTAGCGAGCCGGAAATCTTGGACAAGGTTGAGGAGATCGCTAAGGTGCACCCAACCGTTCAAGGGCATATTCCTAAGCTGCTCTGGCACCACACGTTCACGAATCCCACGTCCGCCATCCGAGAAGCGCTCGGGGTTCCAGAACCCACCAAAAGCAGTCGTGTGCTCTACGTCCTCGTATTCCCCAAGCTCCACCCCATTACAGAACTTGATGGCAGGGTGCTTTTCGACGTATGGCGTCAGTGTATCTTATGTACGTATTTCATTCAATTTATGAGGCTCTTTGTTAAAATAGCGTGCAGGCCACCTTACTTTGTGGAAGGAAGGTGTCTATCATCGAGATGTCAGCCCAGGGAACCTGATGTGGTACTGGAAAGACGGCAAGCGGATAGGTGTGCTAAATGACTACGATTTATCCTCGTTGGCGAATGTCCAGGGTCCTCAGGGCAACGAGCGCACCGGCACGGTGCCGTTCATGGCGCGCGAGCTTCTCACTGAAGAAGGTCAACGAGGCAAAGTGAAACACCTATATCGCCATGATCTGGAGTCATTTATGTGGGTTTTCGCTTGGATTTGCTTGCGTTACAGGCAGGGAGTCCTTCTACCACGGAGATTGCGCTCCCTCGACGAGTGGGCGACTTTAGGTGCCATTGCATGCGGCGAGAAGAAGCTAGTCTTTCTCAACAATTTGTCGCCTTTCGCACTCTCGGACATAGACAAACTCACATGGGGTGTCCTTGTGAGCTGTCTGCTGGTACTTAAAAGGGATGGCGACGACCGATACTACCTTCGCTTCCAAGAACCGTCGGACTCAGGAGCAGACCAGCAGCCCGACGCTGAGGAATCAGATCCCGATGCTTTTCTATCTAAATTTACATGTTCCAAGAGTTGGCTTGCGCTCAGCAAACCTTCACAATGATCTTCTTTGCTTGTCGCCTTACATACGGGTTTCTGACTATCAATCCTTGTAACTTTCAGTTGCACATTCACAATACAAACAGTCGGCCGGGCACTTCCAATAGGGTCGTCCTGGAACGCTTCATTGGCAGGGAGTAAGTACATCAACCTAACACGATGTATCTTGCCATCCTCAGCTATTCGTATGCACGTCAAATTATTTCAGCAGGCTATCTTCGTTGACCCCACCGAGTCCCTGAGGTTTCTGCCATGGCATGCTGCGATCGATCTCAAGACACAATGTTGTGTCCATCATGACTCACACTGCATCGATCGATAATTGAGGGGTAACTTGAACGTGGACTTGTGACCAGTCACTCGCGAGCCGGAAATCCTGGGAAGAGTTTGCAAAATCGCTGCTACCGTTGTTAGCCCGTGATGATATTGAACTCGTGCTACTAGGGATTCGGGGTAAGCATCATGATTAATTGCACATAGAACGAGACTGAGCGAAATTTCTGCAGTAAATAGCGTAGTCCGATATCTCAACATGAAAAACATAAATTACCCTGGCGTGCTCCTATCAATCTTATTTTCAACGAACTATTTCAAGGTGTGTCTTATCGCACACCCTTAAAGCGATCACATGGCGGCTGGACGTCATCTACCCTTACTTCTGCTAGTACCCCGCAGGCTACAACTCGTCATGGCGTCCGTCATCCCAGTGATTTTCATACTCGTCATAATCCTAGGACTGATGGTTTGTGGTTACCTCTTCGTTCCAAAGGGCCCATATCAAACGTATGCCTTCTCCACTTTATCAAAATACGGACTAATATCCTCCACTCGGAATGCAGGACAATTCGTATGGTATCATGCTCACGCTTACATCGTGTTATCTTATGTGGATGGTCACATATATGGCGCAACTACATCCTCCCATCAATAAGTCATGAAACTCGTTGTTACGATTTTATTAGCTAACGCATGAACTTCAGCGTCATATCGTTCAATGAAGGGCGGAGAGAGTTTTTGATGGATTCTACTCGCACGGTGTATTTCCAGTACCTCCTTGAATCGACACTGATGGACACGTAAAGCCTGTGGGTATGCACCCATAAGGAAGTAGAAGATTGTTTACCCTGATGATTGTACATAGGGCGCGAGGATCATGAAACGAATACGAAGGCAATATGGACTCTGGAGTAACCCGCCTTCAAGTCTAATTTATCATTCTCCTAGGCTACTATGCGTGATGGTGGGATGAAACATGCGCCGAACGACACGCAGCATCGGACATTGAGAGCAGTTTAGAGTGAGTGGTAGGAATAAATGATGGGTGGAATGAGTGGGCCTGTGGATGGAGTTCATAATGCTGTCGCAAATCACATTGTCAAAGTATTCTATGAGAATATGCTCGGCGATTTGGAGGACGGTAGTGTCTGAGTCATGAACTGTACGACAGTGGCCTGGGCACTCAACCGTGCTATCCACACTGTGAAGATGAAGGTACCGCTTGAGCAGAGGATGGAGTCTTCATTCATATTGGTGTGTGGTTTCATGTCGTATTACTTTGATACATGCTGGTATGGTCCTCATCGAAAGCACACTCAGGCTGGAAGTACACTTGCACCATGCCGCCTAATGCTGGCACCAAAATTATGAATGCAACACGTCAACTACACTGCAGGAAGAGCACAATAATTAAACCAGTGGGAAAGTGAATTCTGAGTATTTATCGCAAAGGTTTTCCTCACTCCCGCAACAAAGAACTGGAATTGGCATAAGCTCCCGAACATCATTTGTGGCCCTATGACCACGGGTTCGATTATCTTCATGTGCAATTGGGAGGCAACCCGGCAAAAAGTCGAATGTCGTTGAAACGTCTGGTCCAGCGACTACGCATGAGACATGCTCAAGATGAGACAGTGTATCATGAAACTCCTGGAACAGAAGTTGAGCCCATGAATGAGCGTCTCCACGTTTCCCTTCCAACCAGAATGTTAGCCTTTTTAAATTCGGCGCGCGTACTAGCATGCGATCAAGATGGTGTCCCCAGTAAAAGATTCCATAACGCCGATATTGACTAATTAGGCACTATACGGCTGTAAGTCATAATCCTGCTATAAATCGAATGAGTATTGCTGACCTGAGTGACCAAACCTGTCAGCGTAATTTCCTCAATATATTTGGAAATTGGTGTGAGGCATATTACTGCTGGGCACCAAATCATGAAATCAAATCCCAAATTCCTAACAGGTACTGTGGAGGTGTCGACAAAGTCGCTGAGCCGCATGTTGCTGTCCTGTACGTGTTTGCCTTTGAAGCGCACAGTGTGAACTGGACGTCCAGGCACGAGGTATTTTAACAACCAAAGGTCGGCGGAGACTTCCATGAGATGTGGCAGAGATGTGGGAAGAAACATCACCTCGCGCCTAGGAAAGATATCTATTGTGGGCTGGCTAGTGAGAGCAAGATCGCGGATGCTATCCTGCCTATTCAAAAAGCTCAGGAATTGGCGATCAACAGGATAGGTGCAATGAAAAACGTGAAGCTCGGCATCACAGTACTGAAGGATGGAAGAATATACACGCTTTTTGGAATGGATAAGCTTGAGTGTTGAGAGGCAAGTCATATTTTTGAGGGCCAATATGAGATGATCTAGATGCACCTCGGGACCATCATAGACCATGATTGTTGGATATGTGAATATGAATGATTTGACTTTCTCTGCAAGATGGGGATGCTCTGCAAGCGTGGTGCAGATATCCGAATTGTCGACTGTGATGGACTCGTACAGAGAGTCAACCGCTGCATGATACAAGCCAGTGCACACTTGGCAGAGTGCAGCTAGGTCATTGGAGGAAAATTTGCCGAAAGAGAGAATGAGGAGCCACAGCTCGACAGGGAACTTCAAGTTGTTAGTCGGCATCAGGGGCTGAGCGCTGAGCAGCTTGGCGCTCATAGCGAATTTATTTGGAGTATCAATAATAATCAATTTCATACTCCGCAGAACTTGTCTTTGTAGACTTACATAATCATTACATCATATTTACACTCCCAGTAATCAAGTTACTGCATCAAAAATATATGTTTGCATTCAGCGTTCGGACGCGTTCAAACAGTTCAAGCAGGAACAGAGAACGGAACCAAGGGCTGGGCTCCCATGGGTCCTCGAACGTTGGACTGAACCACGGTCCAGTCTGCCAACAGTCCGGTTCGAACCGCGGTCCAGTGGCGGCCAGGAAAATGATTCACCACTACCAACGACGTATCACTCGTATCCTGACCACTGTAGGTAGTCTGTCTGTTCGGGCTTGGTAACCCGCCCTTCACAGCTGTAATACCTTTTCACCCGAGTTTCAGGCTGTTGTTTCGGACCGTAAAGCCCTGCGGGGCTTTCATCCGGAACTTCGTTACATGATTTCCTTTTTGTTTTCCTACTGTCACTCATCATCTTTGAATTTCAGTCGTGCTTCTACATCCTCTTTCTCGAGTTAGACACAAAGCCTCGGATCACATAGACATACTTCTAACCCTACACTCGTACCTCGCCTCGGGGTAGAATACTAACTACTATCAAAGATATCTTCACTGAATCATGCCGCATCGTTCCAAACTCGAAGCTTTGAAAGCTTGGGAACGGCACAGATCGAGAAGCTCGATTGATCAATTGAAGATCGTGCTGTCTTGATATATGCGGGTATGTAGTCTTCTCCGTCACGGTAAGTTTCGGATCCCACTTGCTTTACTTTCGCCAGCTGACGACATTTAGCAATGGGATTAGGCACCCGACTCATCTGCTACTATCTTTGACGCTGTTGCATATCGATCGACCCAACTGAAATAGGTCAACTACTACTCATGCAATGCAGTCTTACACAGTGGAGCGGAAACTGGACAGGTTCGTTGAATTACCATTCCAGACCCAGTGTGTACCCTGATGAGTATACGAGGGATGATAGTATGGAGGACAGTCGCTATCACGTAGGATTCTTCAGACGTACCACTCAGTTACTTTCTCGATGTGGAATTGAAACTCATGGGTGAGTGAGATGAAGATGTTGTGATACCTATCTTAGCATTTTTGCTGATCCTTGGATCAGCATCATGCCGGTGCCAGCAGAGGAACGTCTCGAGACTCGGTGGTACCAGTTGTTTTTCATTTGGTTCTCCTCTTGCATGAATATATTGTCGTATGTTTTCAGTGCTGTCTTAATTCTGGCGCTATTCCCTAACCTACCTAACACCTCCAGATTCAGCACTGGCGCTGCTGGCCCTGCATTTTTTTCCCTGGGAGTTTGTGACTCCATAGCTATTATCGTCATTGTTGACCTAGTGTAAGTTAACAGTTTACGAAATTTTGATCTGCCAGCGATTGACCTTCAGCTAGATGCTGTTTACTGCCAGGATTCTTGTGGGTTTTTGCTATTCCTCTGCGCATTTCCGGGGACTTCATAATGCGCTAGTGCTGTTTTCGGGCCAAAGCTTGGCCTGCGAGCTATGGTACAAGCGAGGTACTCATGGGGGTGAGTTATTCTTCTGATTGCCAGTATCATTCCCTGACCGACATCAAGGTATTTCGGTGCCATCATACCGGCCGTCTTGAATGTTTTCTCCTCGGAAGGTTTCCTTATTCTGAACTGTATTATTGGCGGACAAACGATAGCCAGCTTGTCTTCTCAACTTAATGATACTCTTGGTATCGCCATCCTTGGTATCATATCTCTTGCGGTATGTCGGAATTCCTCCTGCCGCACTAAAAATGACAGGTTTCAAGGTCACTTTCTGTGGATACCGTATTATCCATTGGTGGGACCCCTCCAATATCAGTCATTCAGAATTCTGACGGAATGTTGATTCATAGGTACGAGAGTGTGGCATGGATCCCAAATGTGATTGCTTTTATCGCCATGCTGGCTGTCGGTTATCCACAGCTACGCGAAAACCTATCGGCCCCTGTCCCTCCAGCAACACCCGCTAATGTCATATCTTTTGCGTCCATTCTCGCATCTAACATGATCGGCTGGTGTCCCATGATTCCTGACTATGGCGTATACCATAGCCCTGACGTTTCTTCGTAAGTTTTCCTGAACCATCACCAGGGCTCTCCTTGACATCCCGATAGTGCGAGAATTTTTATTTACACGTATCTTGGGTTCTTCGTGTCTAATGTGAGCCATTTATGTTGATATCAGTTGCACCTTGACAATTTTCTTTAAAAAGGTGACTGGTCAGGCTCTGGGTGCCGCATTCGCAGCAGCAGCTCCGAGCGTGCCTGCTTGGAATGCAGGATTCGATAACAGCTCTTCCGTCGGTGGCTTGTTACACAGCGTCTTGTTACCTACAGGCGCATTTGGAGAAATCCTGACTGCTTTGGTCGCTCTCAGCATATCTAGTGCCTGTGCACCAACGATATATACGTTCAGCAACAGTTTCATGGCCATTTCTACGTGGTTTGCTGCGGTGCCCAGATGGGTATATATCCTCATGTCAGAGGGAATGTAGGTGTCATCAAGTGAATGTAAACTTCGGGGACGCTCATGATTTGGGTTCAAGTCTGATACCAGTGGCCATTGTTGGTTCCAAAAAGTTTTATGCTACCTTTGTTGACATCCTTAGTACAAGTCTCAAATATCGGTATCTATTGTAAGCGCTAACATCATGATCTCTCAGATATCGATGGATATTGGACATCAGCATTTTCTGCGATAATACTCACAGAGCATATGTTATTCCGACGAGCCTTGTTTTCTGAGGACCAATATCCCGTCACGACTTAGGCTTCATATGCTTTCTTGCCTAGCGGTATCCCCGCGGTAGTGGCCTTTGTGTGCGCGTGTGGAGCTGTTGTTCCATTCATGTCACAGGCTTGGTATGTAGGACCAGTAGCGAGGCAGGGCAGTGGAGACGTTGGTGTGTTTGTAGGGTTTGTGGTCGGAGCTATCACCTATGCGTTGGCGAGGAGTTTCGAGAAAATACTATACAAGAAGATGGGTAGAGCAGATGCTTACTAGTACTTTGATCGATGTGTACATGAGTTGCCTTTGACTGGAGACAAGTTATTCTTGATTGGTGCCAACTCCCAGGCCTCGATCCTTCTG